ATTCAACGCATTGAGCTTCACACAAACATTACAGTGGGCCTCTGACTCATACATTCAGAGCATGTCGTCCAGACCAGAACACGCACATACCTTCATGTTGCAGCGAGGAGAGGGATGGAGGGAGAGAACAGACACAAAGTGCCACGAGATGAATAAGTGTGAAGTGACAGATTGCTACTCCTCCTTTTATCATCTTCCTCCACCTCTTTCTTTCTCTCTGTCTCTCCACTGATCCCTCTCCATCACCTCAATGCAGTGCTCATGTAGTTACCACTCACTATCTGCGATCAGCAAGTGTGCAAACACACCTCCTGTGCCCATAGGTTGTTTGTCTCTCTCACATTGTGAGTCATGCCCACACACACACACACACACACACACACACACACACACTTGTGCCAGCCACTTACGCCAACAGATGTAAACACAAGCACATACAGTATACACACAGACGCAGCCACACCTGATGTGTGGCGTTAGGTGCATTTTAAGCAGTGGGGGTCTTCTCTATCACACAGCAGATCTCTGCTTGACATGCTGCTGCATATTTAAAAAGGACAGGCCGCTGTGATGGATTGATCAATATTGATTTGATGTGTAATCCACTGTGCTCTGCCATCTTGAACTACTGTATCATTTAATTACTGAAACCCCGAATGGACCTTTGTTTCAATATTGTATTGTGGCTTTTAACTACGTGGTCAAATTAATAACGGCACAGTACTGGAGGTAAAAGCTGCACTTACCATGGTTAATGTTTATCACAATCTAGGTTTAATTTGTGCCCTTCTTAGATCTGCATGTATTGGTGTCATTGGTGAGTCTAGCTTTTCTGCCAGAGAAAAACGCTATATCGACACTGACACAATAAAAACAGTTCACGCAGCTCCACGAAAAATTGGGAATCACTTCTCGCTCTGCTTATAAATCCCTGAGGACCGTCTGGTTCTGTCTTTCGTCCGGTGTCTTCAGCCTAAACACCAGTGACCCGGGTAAAGGCTGCGTGTGATCTCTTTTTAAAAGAGGCTGGACAGAATTTTGCGCAAGCTCTATACATTTTTAATTATAATACAGGTATGGGTGGCCTTTTTGAGCAACATGATGTGATTGTTCGACTTCAGAACAAAACATTTGAAATAATTTCCATCCCAGAAAACTCAGGAAACTACAGGATTACCTAACTGACTGCCTATTGTGCCTATTGTGCCTATTGTGCCTATTCTGTCTTTTCTCTCCATGCTCAGGTCTGGCTCTGGATTGAAATACAGATGTGTTATTTCCTGTGTGTATAAGATTTCCCACCCGACACCAGAGTTTAATATAGAGAAAGAGGGTGAATCTGCAGATCTGGAGAGGCTTTGCAGTGGCATCACAACTCTCTGGTGTCTGTTCTCAGACTATACCGGCTAGACAGAAAAAGCGTGCTTAGAAAATATTGCCTCAGTGTGACAGTTAATTCAGGAATGTCTGAGTGAAGAAATAATTGTTGAAGGCTAATTGTTTGGAAATGAATAGTTGAATCCTAGATTTTGTATATATTATTTACATTTTGAGCAGATTTGTTTCTTGTCTTTAATTCCATATAGGCACAGAACTCCCTCTGTCCCTTAGGTTGACCGAAGTCACTTTTATGACTAAGGCCTGTCATTTACTATTAGCCTTTAATCTCCTGACATCTTGCCCTCTTTTTCTTTTCTTTTCGTTTCATCTCACTCTTACTTTGATTTCCTTTGTCCTTTCTGTCCTCTTCTTTGTCTTTTTTAAAAGTCCTGTTTGCATGACAGTCACATTAAGATCATCAGAACAGTGATCTACTTTAGGTTATCTTTGCAAAACGGGATACTTTCCTCTTGTTTTTTTATTTGTGTTTTCCTACGCATGGACCCACATCGTCTGGTCTCCCTCTCACCTGTCCGCCTCCCCCTTTGTTTCCACCTGTGTAGGCTAAATAGACAATATGATGTTACTGTAGTTTTGCCACTTGTGTACATGTGTTTGTACATGTCTTAAAAGCACTGCAGCATAAAAAAAACTGACTTTGATGACAAGTCTCACACTTCTAATCATCCTCAACGTTTCAATACTTTGTACGAGTACCAGTGCTGCTCATCTCCTCAGTTTAAGTGTTATTATATATATCAATAATGTCATCGTGAGGAATATTGGCAACAGTAACAAACAAAATAAGTGCATAACACTTCAGAGCAAATCTCTCCTTCCCTAATTTGCACGTATGAAGTATTTCTGGTGTCCAGCCAATGAGGGGGCATCCTGAGATGGTCCCACTGGTGCTATCCTGCTTCCCTAGGACATGGGGGCTGGTATAGGGGTAGAGGTAGGAGGGTCATTGAGAACCTCTGTGTGTGTGTGTGTGTGTGTGTGTTTTCATGATACAGAGGGGTACAGCACTGCAGCAATCTGAGAAAGTAGGTCAGACACTGACTAGTGACAAACAAAAGTAGGGAGAAGAGATGGAGAGAAAAAAAGGCGGGAGAGGTTGGAGGTGTGGGGGTAGAGGCTTGTGAGAATATAGAAAACCAGACAACCTGGAACACACCTGATAATCTAAACTGCCAAACTATTTAGGATACGGATATGATCCTTAAAAAAACATGTCATCACAATGTGTTGATTTAACTGAACAATTTCTATAAATAGGCAACGCGACAAGATTTTGTTAAAAGACACATTCTGGTTTCGGTTTGTAGTCCGAGTAATATTGATCAATCGTGTTCAAGCAGTCCATGTGAAGAGCAAAGGAGGTAAAACGCATTGGACGAAATGCAATCTTGGAACCCACCGGCTGTCGTCTGACGATGATTTAGCTTTTGATTGGTTTAGAATGAGCTTGTAAACTGTCTACTTGTGGACCTATCCGGTCGTACGCGTCGTCTCTCAACTCCAAATCCAGTCGCTCACCTCAAGTTGCTAATCGGACTGTAGACAATGACAAACGCACGGAAGCAAAGTCTTGGCCCAGATACTAGCAGGCTACACCAGAACCCCCAAAAATATAGTCCCTCGCCCCCAGAGCCTTATCCGTCATCAGACCGATAGCCGATGGGTTTCGAGATTGATTGAACAACAAATAGATACCAAAATAACAACTTAAGATCACAGATTGGACACCGCTGACTTCCCTGGAAGGTCACTTCTTTGGCTAAATGTTTGTCAGCTAATCTCCTGAATGAATAAAGCTGCTCTAGTCTTAAGTGTTCTACTGAGTGTATTTCTGTCATGAAGGCACTTAAAGAAAATATGTGTAGGCTATCATCCAATTTCAAAATCAAAGAAAACCTGCAGAGAGAAGCGAGACCTTTCAAGAAACATAAACGGAAACTGGTTCCCTCCATTTGCTTAGTTATAAGGCTTCCTCTTATACGTTTGTTGCTCTTTATTACGTAAAGGCATAATGTCGAAAATACACGATGACATGCAGAAATACACTGAAGGCACTCAGGCTTCCTATATACGTATATGGGCTCCACTCAAGTATGAGTTACCTTTCTCTTTCACTCTTCAGGCCATGTCTGTTTTATTATTTATTTGATAACTGCATCTATAAATACACTGCAGGGCTCGTAGGAATGGACCGCAACGGGGAAAGATTGTGCAGTAGCACACACTGGTGATATCACGCTACTGTCATTGATTCAGTGACAACTGAATGGGTTACAGTATGTAACAATACGCTCGGGTAGTAATAGACAGATGTACATCACACAGATATTCAGAGCTAAGAAAATTGCCTTTGAGTGACAAAAAAAGCAATCAAACCTCAAACATAAACTCATTTAGAATACAACAGCTTATTGTTTGCTTTCTGTCCGGGAATTTCACCCCGAGGACGAGGAAGTAAACAAGCAAACATGGAGCTGTAAGACATTGTAGTGTAGAAAGGATGCCACTTGTAGGAAAGGTGCTGACACTACTGCCCAGATGTTGAGGGAGTCGAGGCAAATGCCAAGAAACACATTTGAATTTGAAACTGAATTATTTGTTTCCTTCTTTCCGGTTAGAAAAATGACAGTAATCGAAAGTAGCTTCACGTTTACATACAAACGTGTTTCATGTCAAAAACATTAAACATTGGAAAATGTTCAATATCTTTTGCTCAACAAAATAATCCATAGAGCAACAAAATCAAGAAAATATTTTATTGTAAATTGATGTTACGTCTAATATGAAGAAGAGGCTGAATGATATGATGGGTGATGCTACCCTGCAGCTTACTTGGACCTTCAATCAAGTGGAGGAGCAGGAGGGGAGTCCTCATTTAAAAACATCCCTGTTGTAAACATTGTAGCATTCTAAATATTAAAAATAACAATAATACTGGTATAAAAACAAGCCAACTGCTTGTTTGCAGGGTTTGACATCGTACTGTAAGTCTGTAAACAAATGTTTGCTTGGAAACTGCAGCTCACTTTGACTGTTGCACTCATGTTTTCCCTCCTACAACACAGAACACACAGTGAGCTGTATGATTCATGTGTGAGATTTCCACTTGTTAACTGGACTACAGCGTGCACATTATCAGCTATCTATTGATATTTGATCTTTTTCCATTTGTCTTGTTTTATGAGGTCCTTTCAGACTCAAAAATCAACAGGTCCCACAGGTTTTAGGTCAGACTAAAGTATGTGACCTGTTTATTCATATTTGTTTTAATTCAATATGTTTTGAATCAAATCATAGCTTATTATAAATGTAATATTTACTGTATGATAATATTAAAATAATATGACCATTTTAATATTAAAGGTTTAGTACTATTTAGATGCAAAGACCTCAATGTAGATGAACATGACAGAGTGAGAAGTAGTCAGGAGTAGTTTTTTGAAGTATAAGATTCACACATACTCCAGTTGTTTTTCTCTGCTGTTGTTTTGAGGTTTTTCTATGTTGTTGTTGCTGAATTTCTTGATTTGCAACTGACTCTTTACACTCACTTTCTCTTTCTGCTTTATCTTTATATCTTTCTTCTTTCTTTCTTCCAGTATGTGGCATTTGGCTCCCTGTTCTTCATCCTCATCTCCATCTCCACCTTCTGCATGGAGACACATGAGGCCTTCAACACCATCCTCAACAAGACAGAAAATGTCACAGTGGGCAACACGACCCGTGAGGAGATTGTATACGAGGTGGTGACTGACAGCTGGTTGACATACGTGGAGGGCGTGTGTGTCATTTGGTTCACCATTGAGGTCCTGCTGCGAGTCACCTTCTGCCCAGACAAGCTTGAATTCTTCAAAAGCAGCCTCAACATCATCGACTTCGTCGCCATCCTGCCCTTCTATCTGGAGGTGGGCCTGAGTGGGCTGTCCTCCAAAGCTGCCAAGGATGTCCTGGGGTTCCTGCGTGTTGTCAGGTTCGTCCGTATCCTCCGAATCTTCAAGCTGACCCGCCACTTTGTGGGCCTCCGTGTCCTGGGCCACACCCTGCGTGCCAGCACCAATGAATTCCTCCTGCTTATCATCTTCTTAGCCCTCGGTGTCCTCATCTTTGCCACCATGATCTACTATGCTGAACGAATTGGCGCCGACCCAGATGACCCAACAGCCAGCGCCCACACCAACTTCAAGAACATTCCCATTGGATTTTGGTGGGCCGTTGTGACCATGACCACACTGGGCTATGGAGATATGTACCCGGAGACGTGGTCAGGGATGCTGGTGGGTGCTCTGTGTGCCTTGGCTGGTGTGCTGACCATCGCCATGCCTGTACCTGTAATTGTCAACAACTTCGGCATGTACTACTCTCTGGCCATGGCCAAACAAAAGCTGCCCAAAAAGAAAAACAAACACATTCCCCGAGCACCCCAACCAGGGTCCCCCAACTACTGCAAGCCAGACGCCCTGGCTATGGCTACTGCATCACCGCAAAGGCTCTTGGGAAATGTCCTAGGTGGAGTGATGGGGCCTGGAGGCCTTGCGGGAGACTGTCCTCTAGCCCAAGAAGAAATTATAGAGATGAACAGAGGTGAGAGATTTGTTTTTTCATGTTAAGTTTCTTTATTTTGTCAACAAATATTATCTTTTAATATCAAAACTGACTGTCATGCTTCAGGGGGAATATGACTTAGGCATACACAGGGGTGATTTCAGGGGTCCAGTGGAGAATTAGACAGCCAAAGAAAGAAGTGGGAGCCCTATCAAGAAGTGATGCATAGTTGATTCTGGATCCACCCCTGAGAAATCACTGGCCCATCAGAACCTATGTGTAATTAATGATCAACTGGAAGGTCCACAGTTGCCTTAAGGCACACATCTGTCAGTGAAGAACAAAAGAAAATGAACTCAATTATCTATTAAAACAGCTTAATGCGTCTCAGTTTGGGCTGACTGTACACATTTTCTCTCTGGCATTAGCAGTAATATCAGGAGGAGAGGTAATTTGGCTCTTTGTTTGCTCTTTACATGCTGCAGCATCAGGCGTCAGTCACATGCAACAATAATGCACCTTTAATGCATTACTTTACTGCCTCAGTCATCAGTGAGACAGAAAATATTGGTTTCATCAGTGCTTCTACATCTTGTCTGCTTGGCTTCCCTCCAGACTAAAAAGGTTTCCTGTAGGTTGTGTCACTAGATTTTTTTAGCAGGAAGTTGTATTAGTCAACATTTTGACAATTGGCTCCAAGACTGCTCTCCAATATCATCACTACATGGTGTAACACATTTTATCATATTGCCTCAGTGAACATGTGGGTATCATTCCCAAACATTATTTATCACTCGACATTGACGGTTTGTATGTACATTATATATATATATATATAGACATGATTGTTTTGTCTCTAAGATTTTAAAAATATTGGCAAGTTACCAAAGCCTAAATTAGTCCAAAATTAAATTTACTGTTGTGTAAAAAAGAAACAAGCAAGCAATTGTTTACATTTAGGTTTTAAAAATGTGACAATTTTCCTATAAATTACCTAGAAATATTGTTATATGTATTTTCTCACACTTGATCAACAATACAAACGTATATTAGCATTTTTGATGAATAAGACACACAAGATTTTCTATACTTTTCTCATAATTCTCCTGTGTGTGGTTCCTCCACCTATTCCTCTAGATTCCAAGCAGAACGGCGATGCAGCTTCGGCCGCCCTGGCTAACGAGGACTGTCCCACCATCGACCAGGTGCTGAGCCCAGACGAGAGGAGCCCCATTGGGCGAGGGCCTACCCGGGAACGCTACCAGCAGGACCGCGCCTGCTTCCTGCTCAACACCAGGGAATTCCGTGCCACAGATGGGAATGTGCGGAAAGGTACGTTTCACACAAGGAGACGGATACAAAAACATGCACATCTTACGTAAACAGATCCACACTGCAAGATGCCAGGCACAGCATACTGTAAACCTACATATTATATACGTCTGTGCAACCGATGCAGATAAGTACACAGAGGTTACTGTGTAAATATAACAGCAGATCCAAACATTTAGGAAAGACGGTTTGGATGGAAGAGCACACATGAACTTTGGAAGCCTCAACTACAGCTCCAATTACAGCTAGCAGCAAAACACACACACAGTCATGTAGTTAAAACACATGCATATACACTTCTCCTCTGCTTCTACTGTTTCCAACTCTTCACATTGATATTGTCTGTGTTTCCATTGGTATCATATCTTATTTATTCTGTCAGACAATTTTCTTCTGTCCATCTACTTCTCTCCATTCTCTTTCTTACCATGGTGTCTGAATTTTGTTCCGTGTCCCATAATGTCACATTCATTCATGCTCATTAACAATCTCTCTCTTTCTCTGTCTTCTGGACTCAAACAGCTGACCATGCATTAATTTACTTCTCGTCACTTCTGTTTCTCCCTCTCTGTTTCTCTCTCTCTCGCCTACCTTACATCCTGCTTTTTTATTTTTTCCTGCGCCCCCCCTCCCCTCCCTTCCTTCCCCCTCCCTTCCCTTATGTGATGACTTTCCCTCCCTAACCTGCCGCACATTTTCCCTCTCCTCTGCCCCATCTTTAAACCCCTGCCCTCATTTCCCCTCTTCCTTTCCTTTGTGCTACACCGTAACAACCCCCCCCCCCCCCCCCCCCCCC